ACACACACACACACACACACACACACACACACACACACACACACACACACAATTTAAAAATAAGTATCAATAAACCTTTATAAAAAAAACTGATGTATATTCTAAACAGCTTCCCTCCAATAATATGCACTTGAATTTCTCTAAGTATATTATGTGTGATATAAATGCTCCAAAAACTATTACTCATATTACATGTCCAATTGTTTAAAACGTTCAGCTCTATTAAGCTTAGAGTCCGTCTACCCTGAGCACCCTCTTCGGCCAGGACCCAGCCCAAGGCCACCTCCCTTGCATGGGGCCTTGCAACAACTCTCATCTCAGGCCTCCAGGTGCAGAGTCTGCTTTTAAGACCCCCAAGAGGAAGAAGAAATACCTACAGCAATACTAGCCCACCTACACCTATTTGGCCTCGATCACCTTAATAATTCAGGCCACACACTTCGGCAGGCTGAAGCTGTCCTCTTCTTCAGAGATAAACACGAGGGCTGGAAGGACTCTAACTGGTGCTTCCATAGGTGATCAAGGACCATGCAAAGCCCCAGGCCATGGGCAACTTCTGGACAGTGGACATGAGCCTGATTCCAGCAGAGGTGCTGTATGTTTGGAACACTGTCTCCCACCATCATCCAGGGAGGGTTTCAGCATCAAGTCCCTGCTAGGAGACCCTGGGAAAGAATCAACATGTCCCTAACAAGGTGGGCTAGCTGGACAGAGCAGCCCAGCTCAAGCAGGCACCTGGTCTAAGGAGGAAGAAGAGGTGTGCACTGTACCCTCTAACTCCTCTGAGAAGCCTCTGTGGCCCCTCTGCTCCCTTCCTGGGCCCATAGTAGAGCGAGTTTCCAAGGGAAGTCATCAGGCCTTCTCCCCTTTCCACAGAACAAGGCACCTGGCCCCTCCACTTACTACAGGGTTCCCCAGATCCCATGGGAATGCCCAGGAAGGGGAGCAGAGCTTCCTTGTGGGGACAGCTATCCACCTCTTACTTGCCCATCTACACTCCTAATGCAGTAATGCCCTTGGCCACACTATCTTCTTCCACCCCAGTGCCTGTCCTCAACCAGTCCAGCCTATTGAAGCATAGGTACTGAATCCAAGGGTCCGAGGACCTCCTCTGTGATCTAGATTCCCATTTCAGAGAATAACACCCAAAAGAGCATCTATGTATGATGTGTGGATCAGCCGCCCTGGGACCTGGCTGCTTCTGCCCCAGGCT